AGGGGGAGGGGGCTGTGGGTCCCAGGCTGAACATTAAACTAGCCGAGGATTTGAGAGCATGAGGTAGGGGTAGGGACACTGAGAAGCTCCTCTCAGCTGCATCTTTATGCAAGGGACATTCTCAGGACTAGAAATGTGCCCCTGGAGATGGGTGTCGTGGGCTTCCCTCTGAACTCTTAATTGCCAGTCAATGCTCGAGTCCCGGCAGAGCTCGGGATGGCAGCAGAAGCTGTTTGTTTGCTAATTGCTGTGTGTTTGCCCCCTTGTCGCCTCCAGTCAAAGCTGACATGCTAAATCCAGGATCTGCTGGAAATAAGGGGGACCTCCCTTCCACTCCTGTGGGCTGGGTCTGTGGGCTTCAGTGACTTCCCCCCCCAGATAAAATGAACAAGAATTCTGTGTCCCATGACGACTCTGATAAGCTGGAGGCTCCAGACATGCCCCAGCACAAATTCCCATTATAGCCTTTGTTTATTTAAAAATAAAAAGCCTAACCTCACTATCTTGATTACGGGGGAAAAAAAATATAAATGTGCCAGAAGCATAATTGGTACCAGTGGAAACCAAAAATGACCCTTTGCTTTCCCCCTCCACCCACCTTTTTTCACAGTGTAGTGGTTTGCTGGGAGGGAGCTTTTCTTAGGCATTGGTGCAGGGATCCTTTTCCGTGGACCAGTAGAGCCTTCTCCAAAACATTACCAGTCCCAGATGCTTCAGGGGATGGTGGAAGGAGCCTTGTAAAATTCCAGGTGGAATAATGTATCCTTGACTCTCAAACTATCATTTGAATGCTTTTGAGATTATCTTAAGGGCAGCAGTAACATGCCCTAGAAGTACTTATGAAAATCTCGTTATCAGCATCTTTTATAATGCCGGATCATCCTGTTATTTAGATAATTGTGCAGTCTGTTCCCTCTGAGCCTGCTGATTGCTGGCCATGGGCAGTGATACCGTGTTATCATCTTCTCCTGGTTCTTCAGATGTGCTGAAAGACCTGAGTTGTGCCTGAGGACAGATGGTCCCTGGGTGCCTTTGGGGCTGGTGGCATTCTCCTCTCAGCCCCTGGGGCACCACATGGCTCCCCAACCCTGGGAAGCAAAGGAAAGAGGGGAGAAGAGCCATCTAGGAGATCCCATGCCCACCTCCACTGCTGCTGCCTCTGTTCTTCTGCAAGACCTTTTCCTGGGCTGGTGGCTGTTCCCAGTTAACACTCTTTTAGCTCTGCTGACCCTCTTCATGGATGTGACCACAACTGGTGCTGTGCATGCTGTGGGCAAGGTTTCCTGTCACTGTCTAGGGCTGAGCAAGTTGCATGGGACCTGTGTTAAGCCAAGTGGCCCTCAGTGCCACCATGGGCCAGGTGAAAGCCATCCTGGGAGGGCTGGAGGTTGAGCTGAGCCTTCGAGGTTTGCACTGCAGGGTTTTTGTGGGAGCCCTGTGGTGATGGTGCATTGAGTGATGAATTTCATGGGAGGATTATTGCCAAACAATGTGCTTTTGTGCAATTATATGGTGTCTTAAATAATTTCCTCTAATGAGTCTGTCCACGCCCAAACAAAAATAAACATTCTGAGAGGCTGCAAAGATAAACACTCAATGGCTACCCTTAAAGGCATCCTTTCTCCCTCTCCTGACAGAAACCTGCTCCATTTCCTGGAAAGCAAGAGTAAGGAATGCTGAGTTAAGGTTATACAACACGAATGTTTTCAATTAATAACTTTCTAAACTTTCATTTCACAGCATCAACATCTTTTCTAATCAGTGCCTTTCTCGGAAAGGAGAAAGTGAAAGCTGGGACATTCTGTCACCTCCTTGCTCTGTCTTTCTAAGATGGATGTTTTCCTCTCACCCCTTTGAGGCCCTGCAGGGTTCTCAGTGCTGATGTCCATGGGGACAGACTGGGCTCACAAGCCTTGTTCCACATCAATAAGTTGATTTCCAGTTTGCTTGCACGTATTTTTGGGCATGTGTTGTCCTTGGGCTGTGCAGAGTGCTTTCTGTGGGGTGCTGACCAACCTGGTGGGTGAAAAAGGTGTCAGTTTGGCCACCACTACCCATCCACTGCTTTTGTCTCACTCCTCTGAAGTTTTCTCAGTTTTCCTTTATAGTAACTTGTGGAAGACAGAATTTTAACCCCTCAGGCTGTTTTCTAGGTTCATAAACTGGTGACTGCAATGGGGAGTTAGTTATTTAAGGTGAGGAAATTGCCCTAATGAAACCACCTGCTTATTTCTCCTCTTTATCCACTCCCTAATTCATTTGCTTTTTTGCCATTTCCCATGACTTTGTGTTCTCTTCAACAACCTTTTGTGAAGGGTCTCATCAAAGAGGGCATAAAAACCTAACTGTGTTGTCAATCAGTCGCCCTCTTTGTTCACCCATCCCCTTTCCCTGGTGAGACTTGTTCAGGCTAAAGCCAGTCTCTGCTGGGAACCCCAGATGGAAAAGTGCTCTGCTTTTAATTAGCATCTTAATTAGTTTATCAGGCGTTGGCACCACACTAACCACATTGTCATTCCTGGATGCACTTTTCAGCAGAGCTCTTGTTCTTGCTATCCTTTAGTGCTTAATTTTTTTTAGTTATCACAAAGTGTATCTTTTTATTGGTTCAGGGAGATATCCCTCTGAAGTTCAGTGTTAGCTGAGCTGGGTAATGCATCTTTTTTTTTTTTTTTCCCCAATAGCCAAATCACTTCAGTTTCTCTTCTTCTGCCCAGCTCTAGATAGTGCCTGATCATTAATCCCAGAAATGTGCTGCGGTAGGAAAGGTGTAGCCCTGTGACAGATAAGCTTGACTGACATAAATAATTTAGTTCCTCACTACCTTCCTTTTCTTCCATAACTGCTGGATATCGAGGTGACCCACAGAGTCATCTGAAATTCTCCTGCAAACAAACTCCCTGTTTGATTTTGTTTTCAGCTATTTGGAGCCTGTAATTCATGGTAATGTTCCACTGGCTTCAGTAAGATTATATTCTGTATTTTTATATTGTTTTTCTGCTGCAGTAAGTGATCTAAGCTCTGAACATTGGGTTTTTCCCCACCCCTCTCCCTACTGATTTTTGTCTCCCCTGAATTATCTTTATCTATCTTATAATGGATTGCCCCTGCTGTTTTTATGTTCTGGCTTTTTGCTAGGAAATTGCATTTCAATTGTTGCCATTGATTTACTCTTGGCTAGCCAGGCTTTTTCCTCCTCTTTGATGACAGTGTTGCCTGGGGTTTTGTCCCAGAACTACTGTGACCCTTGGGACTATTAAATAGAACTGGAGCTGGAACAGGATCAGCAGTTCTGTCTTTCCCATGGCCTACCCACAGCTTTGGGGACATGGTGCCTTGGTGATTAACAAATAATTTGACCACAAGAGGGGACTGAGCAGCGAAGCTCAGGGCTGAGGCAGCCTATGAGCAGAGCTGGCTTTTTGTCAGCAACCACAACCTGTGTGGCCGTGACACGGACCCTCCTGCACTGGTTGCACTGGGAGCTTGGATGCTGAGGGTTTTTGGTGGCACTGATCACTTTGCTGTTCACTTTGATACTAAACCTGCTTGATGGTCCATGTCTGTGGCATGTACCAGGTGCTTCTTGTAAGGGCATGAATGCCCCGAAGGACATTCTTTCTTCCCCTTCCCAGAGGTTCTCCCTGGTGGCTTTGCACCCAGGGGCCGACAAACATGGGTTAGATCCTGGATAAGACCCCAGTTGGACACTTGGCTGCATCAAAGGAAATATAAGGAGGTGAGGGACTTCCAGGAAGCCCATTTTCTGGTAGTCCCATGTAGTTTGCTCATCAGTATAACTCCACCAGTCTCATTGTGACATGAGAGCTGATGTTAGAAACTTCTGCCTTGTACTTGGGCCCATGTTTCTCCCTCAGGGAGATTCATGTGCCTCTGTCTGAGCTGTTGGAAGGAAAAATCTGAGTCCATATGACCAACCCTTCCTCGCCAGCTCTCCTTACTCCAGGCAGAGTAACAGGAGTTGTTCCCAGTACACAGCCCAGCACAGTCCTTCCTCAGTGGCCTCAGCAGAGCTGAACCAGCCGGGCAGATGCAGCGTGTCAGTGTGGCGTTAACGTATTTCTGGCAGGGTTTGGAGTTATCTGAGGGGTGGTGAAATTACAGCCTGTGGGAATCCAACTTTGAACACTGAGGGGAAAAAGCTAATATTGGCTTTTTGCTTGTGATTTCACTGGCAGTGCAGGAAATTTGCAGCTGACGAGGGAAATGTTTTGGCTGCTGACCCTGGAGTGGGGTGGAGGGATTCAAGTTGAGTTATCTTATTTCATCTTTATGGTAGTGACTCACTTGACACTTGACTTTATCCTGTAATTGCAATGTTTTAACCTGAATCTTTGCAGATGGAGGACGGACACTAACGGAGCAAGGTTGTTTTGCTCAGTTGGTGTGAAGAGAGCTAACCCAGGTTTGATGGCCCTCAGCCCTTGTCAGGGTTCTGTGCCAGCCTTTCCCCAGCTTTGGATCTGATCCTATTCCCAGTGAAAGCAATGGAAATATTGTCTCATGAGAGGGTGTTTCTGGTTATCAGGTTCTCTCCAGCTCAAGGCACAGACCTGTTGTTGATGTCTGTACCCAAAGAGAACATCCTTTCAGCCTTGGCTAGAGCTGACATGGCATTTGGCTGTTGGGGCTGTGCTTGGGGAAATGCCTGGTGTGTTTCCCCATGAGGTGGAGGAGATGGTGGCTGAGAGCATCCAGTGTTGTCTCAGGAATACCTGACCTTGAGCAAGGTCATCTGTGTTTCTGTGCGTCCGTGTTTTCCAGAAATTAAGGGGGCTACTGTGACATCATTATTTTCTAAAGTATATTGAAAGTGCTCGGAGATCAGCTAGGAAATAAATAGGCAGGTATATTTATGGTATTTTTGTTCAGAGAGACTGAACCACTCAGTCTGGCCTCTGGCTTGATGCAAACTTTCACAAAGATCTTCCTATCTGGCTTCAATGTTATGCAGTGTTTCTTTTTGACTTGAAGTTTTGGTGGGGAGAGAAGGATTTGTTTTCCAGGGTCCTGAGCTGTCTGTAAGATAGGGTAGACAAAAACATGCTATTGCAAAACTAGCAATGGGCATTTTTTTTTCATTTAAATAGTTTTAAAAATTATTTCTATAGGCCTGGAATCCTCACCCACTGAGTGCAGGACTGGGCTCAACATCAGATTCAATTCCTGATGAATCATTATTTCCACTACTTGTTTTTCATAATTGCTTTTGCTAATCCTCAGCTGCATTTGCATTTTCTTAGTGCTCACCATCCCCTTCATCCATGGGTACAAGTCATGAGGTGTCAACATCCTGCTTGTGTCCCTTGTGATGTTTGATGGAGCTGTAAACACAGGAGAAGATGATCTTTGGTGGGTGTAAATTATCAAAGCTGTGCTGAGATGAGTGGATCTATAGCAACTTACACCAGCTGCAGGAATGCCCAGAGGATATTTCTTTCCTGCTGGCTGGAACAGCAGAAAGCTGGTGGGGGAAATGGCCTTGTGTAAGTAAGATACACAGCTGAGCAATTCTCTCCTTCTTTGTTTTGGTCTGTTAAATTTTAGCTAAATAAAATCAATCTTTTGGGTTTCCATGATGATTCCTGTATAGAGTCAGGTGTTTTACAAGCTCTGTACATCCTCTTGGACATACAACAGCCTGTTGAACTGGAACCCCAAGACAGATGCTCCCTGGCAGCACACAGGGACATGCTTCTGATGGAAAGGATTATCAGGTTAAATAAAGTTTAGCTGCTTAAAACATGCAAATAACCAGAAACATAGTTCATATCTGTAATTCTTACTTATTCTGGTACTGATTCCACTTGGGTTCCTTGCAGTTGGTTAAGGGATGGGAAGGCAGAGGGTTTGTTTGGATTCTGCTGCATTAACCCAATGGTGCTGTGTCAGAACAGTAAATGCACCCAAGTCAAACCTTGTCATAATGAAAGGAAATGGTTCTTTTTGAACTTAAGCTGAATTTGCAAAACATCCTACCCCAATGTGTGCCACCAAAACGTTTCAAAATGGGGTCAGTCATAAACAACTTCATTTCATTCAGCTCTCCATGGAATAGGAGCAGAATGAAGGTCAGGAAAAATTACTGAATGGAAAAGCACAGGATCTTTTTAAATAGAAAAAGGAAGAAATTTCTCCTTCCCAGCTTTTCGGAAGGAATTGCAAACAATGGAGGTGAATGTAAAACCCAAGATCCAAACCCATCTCCTGAGTTACCTCCCCTGTGTAGGCTGGAGCTCTGCAGCCATCCGGCCTCCGGCCCTGCTCCGGCCAGCACCAGGCACATCACTTCCCCTCCCTGTTCTGCAGCTGCATGTAAAGAATCATGGAGCCATTCAGGCTGGAAAAGACCTTTATGTGTGTGTTTCTCCCCCGCTTTCTTTCATTCAGGAGCAACGTTGCCAGTGGGCAAACACTAATCCATCCTGACAGCTCTGCCCATCTTCCTGCTTTGGTCTGGCAACCAGCAAACAGCTTGATTAAGGTCCCCAGGGCTTTATTAGTGCAGCTTGTTGCCTGCAAATTAATCAACAGGTTTCCTGTGTTTAACTCTTTGCTGGAGCTGGTTGGGAACATTCTGCACTGCTGTGGGGATTGAATCCAGTCTTTAGAACTGGCCTTTAAATACCACACAGGAGAAATAACCCCAAGTGGTATTAGTGGTTTCTTGGGGTAGAAGGTAAAGAGATCCCGTGGGCTCTGCAGGTGCTGCTCATCCCACTTCCCATCTCTAACAGCAGTTTTAGACTTTCTCTTTATTTCTCTTGGCTGTTCACCTCCCCTCTCCCCTTGTAAAATATCCATTATCCATGCAGAGGGCAGCCAGATGAAACCTGTACTTTGCTTAGTTATTTATAAGAAGTCAGATGTGTTCTGGCCCCTCGAAGTGGAAGTGCAAGCAGAAATGAGACCTCCTTGCTGTTTTACGGTTTGTTCTGGAGCATGGGCAGAAGTTGCCAGTATGTTGTATTTTGCAATGTTATCTCTCAGACTTGGGACTTGTCCTTTAATTGTTTGGTCTCACCATACTGGGAGGAAAAATAACTATGTAACTGCTGTCATTTACCTAAACTTCAATAATGAGTGCAAGATTTGGGGAGCACACACTGAGTTTTCAGGTGGCTGTGCAGATACCAGCATGGAGATGACTGATGTTGTACGATGTAATGGGTTGAACATTCTCCCATTGTTTTGGAGATCACAGGATTTCCAACTTCTTACTTGCATGTGCACAGGGAAACCCAACTCCTTAGCTTCATTTTCCATTTCTGTGCACGTTTTCTCATCTCCCAGTTGCTGGAGGCCCAGTCAGTGCATTATATCTATCTGCACATTCATGCCCATTAGCACTGTGTGTATCTGGTGGACAGACAGACACTGACTGTGCTCCCACATGAACCCTGGGAGACCAGCAGCACTCCGCACGTGGAATTACGTTCAATCTGATCTGGACTTCACCCCACAATGAACAATGGTGAGAGCAGGCTGAGCCACTTAGTTTGTATTGATTATTTTTAGCAACAAAGATGGAAGAAGAATGTGCCTGTAGGTTGGTTGTCTCCCTCAGTGGGAGGAGAGCAGCCGGCAGAGGAGAGCTGCCCGGGCCACGCTCCGTGTGCATTCCCCCAGGAAGGATGTGTTTCTGCAGTTTGCTCCAGTTGGACAAGAGCAGTGTGCAGTGGGGAATTTGCCAACCCTCTGCCTTCAGCAGCTGCCGAACATCTGCCTTCTGGATGACATACAAAGTCTCACAACTTGATAATAATTTTCATGCCTGTTTTACTAGAAGGCTTTAAAGCATCTTAGTGCTCGATTTCACTTTGTGAGCAGTTCATCCAGGTGTGAGCAGTTTTGTTGCACTCCATGTGCCAGTGGTGGGGGATGAGAGGCACAGAGAGCAGATGTGGACAAGCCCAAGGGTCCGTGGAGGGGAGCTGTCCCTGTGCCTCTCCTAAGAGCTCCTTTCTGATCCCTCTGTAAGCTCCTGATGCTCCTGGTGCTGTCTCAGAGCTGAGAGCTCTCACCCATCCAGGACACAGCCCTTTCCCTGAGGTGACAGGTCGTCTGTGCACTCCACTGTAGGGCTTTTCCTCCTGTCACCTTCTCTCTTCTTCTCTGACCAACCTTGGAGTGCCTTGCAGGGAGCTGATTGCTCAGTGCAGGTGCTGATCCTTCAGCCTTACTGGTGATGGCAATTCTGTGACAGCCAGAGGTGATAAAGGCAAAGCTGCTTCTTTGGGGGGGACAAACCGGGGAGCTGAAAACCTGTGATTTAGTGCTTTATGCATTTCTGGCCTCAAGACCCATCCATTCCCTGTGATTGCAGGAGGACTTGTAACAGCAGCAGGAAACTAAAAAGTTAAACCCTTCTGTTTGGTTCCTTTGCCTCTGGTCTGGCTCTGGCTCTTTTCTGCTTGCAATAACCAGTAAATGTAACCCATGTGGGGTAGATCAAAAGGGCATTGCTTCCTGCCCCAGAGCGATGCAAAGGAATTTGCAAAGCCTGGGGATAGGGAGAATGAGGCTCCAAATTTGGATCCTTGGCATCTGTGGGTGAAGCAGCGTGTAGCGAACAAGAGTCAAGCTTGTAGATACCTGTACCACCACTAAGAGCTCCCTGGCAGGAGGCTGAAACACCTGCAGGAGCTGGAGTTCACCCATGATGCTGCCTAAGGATCTTCCCAGGTATCAGCAGAAAAGCATGAGCAGAGAAAGCGCTTTCTCTGCCATTTAAAATGTTGTAATAGTTAACGTGAGGAGGTTCTTTGCAGTGGATAGAGGGAAAAGTGGCAGTTCTGAAGGGTGATTTTAAGACAAATGTCTTCTGGCCATTATAGTCTTGAGGATCAAGGCAGTCTTGGGAGAGAACTGAGAGGTTGGGTACCAGCAGAGCTGAAAAAAGTTGCTTTATGCAGGGGTCTTGTTCATAGAATTGTAGAATATCCTGAGTTGGAAGGGACCCACAGGGATCATCAAAGTCTAATTCCTGGCCCTGGAAAGGACATCCCAACAATTCCACCCTGTCCTTGAGAGCATTGTCCAAACACTCCTTGAGCTCTGTCAGCCTTGAGGCCGTGACCACTGCCCTGGGGAGCCTGTTCAGTGCCCAACCACCCTCTGGGGGAAGAACCTTTTCCCAATGTCCAACCTAAACCTTCCCTGACACAACTTCAGCTTGTTAGCACGGTTCAGGTGACCTTGCTGAGTCTGGCTTTTGCATCAGAGGCACAGCACTCAGTCTCCCATCAGTGAAGGCTTTCCCTATAGGACAGGACTTTCCACTTTTGCCCATCCCTCAGGATATTTACATTTCTCTGTCGATGAAGGTGCTCAGGCCCAATCTCCTGTCTCCATCCCCCTTTGCCAGCAGGGAATGTCAAAAAAACCCACTAGAAACCTGCAAGTGGTGGGGTTTGGGCGCGGGAAAGGAGACAAGACATCAGCTCAGTTTTCTGCGTCGTGCCAAGCGCAGCCGGCTGGGACACATCCCCCTGTCTCGGGTCTGTCACATCCCCAGCGCTCCTCTTGTAGTAACTGCTGGCCTTTGCGTGGCGTGTGACAGCGTGGTGGCAGCTGTGACGCATCCATCACCCGTGCCTGCTGCCGAGCGTTCCTTCCTGTTGCCAGGCAAAGAGGGGTGACCTTTTCTGAGAGGAGGAGGAGATGGTGGGGAGAGCAATGGGTGGGTGGGAGGCAGTGGCAGCCTTGGATGGGGCTCCCAGGGCTGTGCTGTGCCCGGGGCTCAGGTCAGGGCTAGGTTTGGACCCACGGAGTGAAGCTGACAGTCCCTCCCACTCTGTGTGGTGTCCTGGGCGCAGAAAGCCCCATCCCCACCTGCCTACCTGGATTGAGACGAAGCTTTCCCCGGAGGGCCCTGCCATCCCTGTGGGGTGCAATGCCCGAATTACGGGAGGAAGTATCAGGATGATGCTTGGTAAAAATGCTATTTATGGGCTGCCGCAGATCTGACTGTATTGCCTTTGGTGTAGGAAATTTCAGGGCACTACTGTGTCCCTCCACCCTGCTCAGCCTGAGGTGAGGCACAGAGCAGCGACCAGCGGCAGTGGGTGTTAGGGTCTTGTGCCCTGCCATGTGACTTGTGCACAAAATTGTCCCACTGTCTGTACCAGAGGGGCTTTCCTGTGGCTCCAGCACCTGGACAGTGCTCTGTTCTGTGTGTGCCAATGCTGGAGTGAAACCCGGGGTCGCTTCACTAGAAAAAGAAAATCTTTTCCAGGTATTTGAGGTCAACCTGACATGGGAAACAATTATGAGCCTCTCAGTCTGGATTGGTACAAATGGTACCATCAATCCACAGAGATAGAGCTCTGTGTGAAGGGGTGAGGTGGAACAGTACCAGACATAACCTGAAATGACTTAACAAGCTGCTCAAGTTTTTAAATGCATGTGTCATTTTTTTTTTTAATTTAAATTTCCTCTGACATTTCATAGGCTTCATCACTCAATGTGAAGCCAAGATCCATGTGAGTGTGTGCGGTAGGATTGTTTTTAAATTTTATTTTAAATACAGATGTCTGGAATAACTTTTTTGCACACACTGTAGGAGTGTAAAGGTTTCTAAGCAACATCATTTCATGCTGTTTGCATTAGAGAATGTAAAACAGGGTTCCTTTTTTTAAAAGTCTCTGCAGTGCAGGCATAATTACAGGATCCCATTATGCAGCATTGTGTCTACGGTGAAGCCTGCCCTAATGGAATATTCTGCCTTTGCTGAAGTCTTACCTGCTTTTTACCAAGGCACTTAAGGACTTAATTAGCGTCATTATAGACTGCCACCCCCTTCCTCAGCCCTGTGCATGAAGGGATAATGATCTGTCCAAGCTAGCATGCATTCACTTCCCATGGTTAACAGCACCACATGGAGGGAGTGTTTCGTAGCTCGCTGCTGCTATCTTGAATTGAACATGGAGGAGGAGGGGGGGAAAAATGAAAGCGTTTCCTAGGAGCAATAAATATACTCTGTGTTTACTTGGCCTGGTCTTAGCCATGGAGCTGGGATGGTGTTTGTCACTGGGAGATCCCTGGGGAGCTCCTCTGTCTAAAGCCTCACAATGTGCTGCCGACTGTGGCACAGAGCGGTGCCAGCTGCCTTTGTGCTCAGCCCTGCAGGTGTGGGCTGCAGAGCACCCACATGCACTCCATCCTTCAAAAGAGTCCCCAGGAAACAGCAGGAGCCAAGTGGATGCAGCAAGCCTTCCTATGATTTGGGATCCACAATGTGGATGTGCTACGTGTGGGCAGCATCTTCCACTGACCTGTGCATATGTGCCCGTATGGACATGTGTAAATAGAATGAATGGAATGGTTGGGTTAGGTTGGAAGGTACCTTGAAGACCATCTATTTCCAACCCCCTGCCATGGGCAGGGACACCTTCCACTAGACCAGGTTGCTCCAAGCCCTGTCCAACCTGACCCTGAACACTTCCAGGGATGGGGCAGCTACAGGTTCTCTGGGCAACCTGTGCCAGGGCCTCACCACTCTCACTGTGAGGAATTTATTCCATATTCTAAACTAGTTCCTGCCTGTTGCTCTTGCTGGGCAGTAGGTGCTGGAATTGCTCTGAAAGATGTGTTCAGTGGGTTGGTGTGAGAGGAGGTGTGGGGCTGGAGGGCACTGGTCTGATGCTGAGGGAAGCTGGAGAGGATCATCCTGCTGCTACATGACAGCATCTACAAAGCTCCTGTCAGCTGGATGGTCAGTTTTGATCCCTAGTGCTTTGATGCTAAACAACATTTGCACTGAGCTGCCCAATGGAGTTTTATAAACATCTGGGGGCTTTTTGCATTTTACGAGATGAAGAGTGTTGGCTTTTGTATCAGAGATGGGGCCAAAGGAGTTTTTATTGCTGGTTAGGTAACTTCTCTGGCATGTTGCATTGGGAGCTTTAGACATTATTAATGAGGTGTGTGAGTGCTATGGTGCATGTGTTGTTTTGTGTAATGGCTGTTGCTGCTGAGCCCTGTGCCAGGATGTGTCCATAGTGTTTTCCTACAGGTGTAGAACTATCAGCCCCCTTCACCTCTTGTGTCCTTCCTACCCAACCTGCTTCAGGGTCAGTGCTCCCCCAGCAAGTTTCCTCTGGAGTTTTGCTAACATCTTGTAGGGAGGAAATCTACCCATAACCTCTGCTCTTTGTAGTTCTCGGTTCAGGTGGGAAGGGAAACTAAGGGAGTAGTCAGGGGGTTGGGAGGTGGTCCTGTGGGATATGGCATTTCTGGACATGGAGCTGAGCTGCTTTCAGAGAAGCTTTTTGAAGGCTTGTGGCCCAACTCTTATGAAAAGTAAAGATAAGAAAGAATGAGCTGTGATGCTGATGAATTTTCCTTTACTCACTTGAAATCCTGAATGTCACCTGCTTGCTCCCTCACCTCAGCAAATGGGGTCTGACCTGGGATGATACAAGGAAGTTGCCCATGCTGGTGAGGAACCTTCAAAGTCCAGAGCTGCTCCAGGGCCTCCTCATCCTGGTCTAGGGGAAGGTGTCCCTGCCCATGGCAGGGTGTTGGAACAAGATGATCTTTAAGGTCCCTTCCAACCCAAACCATTCTGTGATTCTACGATCTCCTGCTCTGCTTTGCTTATCCAGGATGACTCTCCTGCATTGTGTGCTCCTAGGAAGGACTACTGCAGTGATGCATTCCTGTTATTTTTTATACAAGAGCTACTTGGCTTCTTCTCTGGCTCTTGCAGCCTCTCCCCTCAAGGAGCTGTGTGTGATCCCTGCTCAGATGGCTGGGGACATCTCTTCAGCCTCTCACCCTGCCCCACAGAGCAGTGCTTGACATGTTATACATCTGACACAGGTGGTGCAGGCAGTCCTGGCCCCCAGCACAAAGCCCCTCCAAGCCACAGCTGTCCCTCGTGCTTTCCAGGGAGGTGGCTGGATGTCTCGGGCAGTGCACGTTCCATTTTGCTTCATAAACACTGAAAACGGGGCCAGATGGAGCTTTATAGGTTCACATCATCTGCCCTGTGCTCCGTGTATTTTAAACAAACCTGGGAGGGGGTTTGGGCTGGATCCTTGTTTGTTCTTGAAGGAATTGATGCGGGCTTCAGAGTCCTCATCCATCCATCTTCCATATGGAGATAAAAAGTTTTGGCTGAACACTGCTAAATGTGCCGTCATCTATCACAGCGGAGGCGGGATTGTGTCAAGGAAAAATAATCCACCATCAGGCTCAAAGGAAGAAAAAGAGGGGGGAAAAAAAAAGAAGAAAGAAATAAGATTTCCAGTAAAATGCATTGCTTTTAAAAATCCAATTCACCCTTTGCCAAGTCATTGTTTGGTTTTAGACTTGTTTCACATGAAAGCAACCTTTAAAGGTTACTTTTATCCCTCTTTAATGAGCTATAGAAGTGAGCCTGGCCTGCTACAGGGCAGAGGCCAGGGATGGGACTGTGTGTGGACTTGATGCTCCCCTTTGGAGTGGCTGTGTGAGCTGTACCATCAGCTCCCTGGCTGCCAAATTCCGTAGCCAGCAGCTTTCAGCAAGAGAAATGAAAGAGGATCATTGATGTATATCTCTCCCCTTACTGTGGTGGAAATTATGTATGCTGCAGTGTGTGTGGGAGACAGAATAGACATTGCTGTGTGTATTTTTATGAAGCATTCTGGATCCTGGGGGCCAGGTTTCCTGGCACCCCTCCTGTGCTGGGTGCTGAGCTCTTTGGAGATGTGTCCCAGCTCTTGGAAACCTGGCCCCTGCAATGAGTGTCAACCATCTGCAGACCTGGCCCCCATTCTGCCCATGTGAGCAAGGGGAGACCCAAACCCCCACCCCAGGAAAGTCCTGTGCTGCCTCTTCTTTCCTCTGCACTGCCCAAGTGTGTTTTGGTGGCAGCCAGGGTGTCTGAGCACCTCTGCAGGGATGGACTGTCCCAGCCCTGACCAGCAGGACAGTGTCCAGCTCCTTAAGTGCCTGGCTTTGCTGTCACGGGTGGGCACAAAGGGGGCTCCCTCAGCTCCACACAGTAGTGTGGCTGCATGAGCTAAACAAGACAGGCAAAGACAGCAGCAGTGTCTCTAAACAAGGATCAGCAATGTGTGTCTGTGGATTGAGCTCTTCCTCTTTCCACCAGATAATCTTTTCTGCCCAGGCATCAAGCATGAGTGGTTCCAGAGCCCCCTAGCCCAGCTGGGAAACCTCCCAAACTGTGGCTCAGCCTTTCCAGTTCGAGGGCTGCTGCATTTTCTCGCTCTGCTTCCAATGGCTGTGCTAGTAAAACATCTCTCTCATTTTTCTTCTGATGCACGTCACACTGTTTGAAGCTGTTAGGGGAGACCTGGCTGATGCAGAAGGAGCAGCAGTGGGGGGTAAACAAGTGGTGCCGTGCACAGAAAGCCCAATGCACTTGTGCCTCGTTGTGCTGGTGTGGTTGTGTGTTCTGAGACAGGACCCTTTGGAAGAGCCCAGTCTGCACCAGGGTTGAAGGCAGCTGTGAGGGACTTGGTGGTGATGCTGTCTGTGCTCCAAGGGGGGTGATTTTCACATCCCCACCGTTGGGATGCCAGCAGCACTTTGCAGTCAG